CACGTAGTGGCTACATCCTGAATCAGTTGCAGCTGCTGTACGCACAGTACCTTGCTGAGCTGGTGGTGCTCTTTCTATAAAGAACAGGGAAAGTGTGCTCTACATGGGCGGCTTTCCATTTGGCAGCGCAAGTGGAGGTTTGACTCGAGGGAGAGGCTGCTGTTGCAGTCGGGTGAAGTGGTGACAGGAAGGGGCTTGTTGCTGCGAGTTTGGGAGGACATAAGGGGACCAGCAGTTAGCGGGCAGACCACAGTTCCCTAAGCGGGCTGTATATGTGGCCATCATTGCGGGGCCCTCAGGCGAATCAAGGAACTAAGGCCCTCTCTTGCGAGTCTGAGCGCACCTCCCTTGTATCTGAGAGTTTGAACATTCTCTCTTTCTGCCCTTCGCACTCTAAGTCTAGTCTATTGGTGCTGAGAGGAAGGCGGCAGGCGGGATTGCAACACGCAATCCGCGCCAAGGCCTCTGTGGAGGTTCGCCCCACCGATTGCAGGAGCTCTGCCGGAGCCTAGGCGAGGCTCTGGAGGCAGGGAATTGAGAGGTAACCATCCCTTTCCCTCTATGTACCCTGACATAACCCGTACTTGTACGTCTTGCTATGTTTGACTGAGTGTACTGCATGCACCCCTACTTTGACTTTGGTTTGACTGACAGGACACAACTCAAATTAGGTAAAGGAGTGTGTACGCCATCTCAGTTTCGGTTTTTGTTGATTGTTTGAAGGCAGATTGTGAACACAAGGGGTTGCATCCGGGGGAATGGTGGGTGAAAGGTGGTTTTGCCTAAGCGTGAATGGGTCCTATGGGGTTAGACCAGTTCCATAAGATTGGACGGCCTGACCGCTGTGTTTTATTTTTGAATTGCATGGAGAGTCAGACCAGTTCTATAAGATTCGACAGCCTTATTGCTATGAATTGTGAGGGTTTGGCTGTGGCTGACCTTTCAGGGGCCAAACCTGTACCATAAGATTGGAGGGTTTGGTTGCCATGTTTGATTGGGGTTTGTTTTGTTCCTTTTGTTTCTGATCGAGGAGGTCTGAGCAAGTCCATAAGATTGGACGGCTCAACCCCCCTCTTGTTTTATTCTGAGGGGATAATCCTTGCTGAGGGCAGGGCATGTCCATAAGATTGGACGACCTTGGACTCATGCTGTACAAAGTTGGGTCAGAGAGAAACGAACCTGGCAGAGGACCAGACCAGTTCCATAAGATTGGACGGTCTGGCCCAATGCCTCGCACATGCTGGAACCCAAAAGACTAATTTTGACTATATTTTATACTATCCTATTTATGAACAGGCTAGCCAGGCATGGGTTCCATAAGATTGGACGGTCTGGCTATAGCTTATCATGAAATGAAGAGAGTRTAACTAAGAGTATAATTGAAGGTAACCCTGGGCAGGYTGGGCCTTGTTCTAAGATGAACGGCTCAGCCCTATGCCCAGTTTTTGAATACCAAGCTCAGAGAGGTATATATAAGTTGGATATTAAACAGTTCTGGGCGACTACGCCTTGTTCTAAGATGAACGGCCTAGTCGTATGCCCCAAAAGAAGAGAGAAGTAGTTGTGCAACCTGTTTGTGTATACTCAATGGCTGAGTCAGGCAAGTTCCATAAGATTGGACGGCTTGACTTTATGCCCTATGTAAGCTGGGTATAAGGGGATAAAGCATTGAAAGGTTACGAACTATTGTTTGCAACGATTGATTCGGGGTGGCGAGAGTACTTACCTTTGTGGTTTGGCCTGAGTGAGGCTACTACTTGGTTTAAGTGTCAGGTTGACAGGTAGTTGCTTTAGAGGCTCGCCTGCTAGAGCGATAGGAGTTAGGTAAATTCTTGCATTTTCTGGGCTAAGTTTTTTTACTTAGATTGATTCTCACATTTTCTGGGATCTTTTGTTATACTTGGCTTTGTATAAATTTTGGTAAGCCACTTTCTCTACGGGAAGCGCTGCCGAAATTTCTACAAATCTGGGGAGTTAGTCAATTATTGACTTTTCAAAGTTCAACCTGTCTAAAGTTCATGTATGGCTTAGTAAAAATCTGAAAATTCTCCTTTTCTAAAGGGAGTGCTGCCCAAATTTTTGCTAAGACAAAATTGGATTTCGAAAAATCAAAGATTATCTCTGCTCTCATATTCGGGCTAATATAAATTCTGAAAAGGCACTTTTCCTACGGGAAGCGCCACCGAAATTTTCTTGATTTAGAGTAGTTAGATTATATTTTGACAGATGACGATTCTGGCGATCCACCGTGAATAGGGGAGATCCTGCCGTTAGTCTACCTTTGCTTGGGCACTAGCTTAAGGGTAGATTTTGATTTAGTTGGTAGGTAACTTGGGTGAGAATGTGCTATGGAGGGTCATCCTCCGTATGCTGATGATTTAACTTGGGCATTGACCTGTCTTATGGTACAGGCCTTTCTTGGACATTCAATTCAGGACTTGGGCTAGTTCAGCTTGATCCTACGAGGATCATCATCTGTTATCACTGATAACAGGTCGGTTGCCGATTCGTCGACTCACGACTCAATTCTTACTCGCCCCCCATACTCAACCTTAAAGGCTTTAGCCTTGGTGATATTTTTGTTTGTTAAGGGTTTCACCCGGACTTTTATTGAATGGCCATTTAACAAAGGTACTGAGTATTTAATTGAGGTTGGTTGGCTGGAGGTTGGGGTTTGCATGGCTAAAGCGAGGGGTATGAGTATAGGAACTGGTTGGAGTTGACTCCGCGTAGTGCGTGGACTCTTGTCTGACTTTTGATGTGATTGCAGGTATGTTCAAAGACTTGAGGTTTGGTTGGGCTGCCTTGCGGTCGCATATATATGTATGGCTAGGAGGAGACGCACTATGACYGTGAGAAGTGATCGTTACATAATTATTCCCCTTGYGCATATGTGTGTGTCAATGCATGTGTACCTACGTGTGGAACTAGCATGGCCTGAAGTGCCCGCGTACTAAGGGTCAGTCGAAGGTTGAGGTAAATAGAAGGGAGGGGATACCCCTCGCCAACTCTCGTTTATTTTCCTTGTTGCGATTTATCTTGGTGAAACGATAAAGTTCCGGATGGAAGGGTCAGCGTGTCGCTGGTGATACGCCAGACAACTCACCACCGCTCCAGACTCCCTCCTGCCCTAGGGGCCGTCTTGCCCTGCACCCGTTGGGACACCTAAGGGTGCAGAAGACGGAAAGGCCCTCAGGCCGGTTTTGCGCGCGCTAAAGGGTTACCCCCATTGGCTCGCGCTTCAGCCAACGCCTGAGCGTCAAAAGGGGACCCCTTGGCTCATAGTAGGCCATTTGGGTGTGGGCACTACACAATGCGCCGTCATCGCGGCTACTCGCGTAGAGCTGCATACCGAGATAGTATGTGTAAGTCCAGCGCCCTCGCGATCTTATACTAAGTTCGCGCGAGGCACTCGTCGCATCCCGCACTAAAAGAGTTATGGGTCAGGAGGCGAGATCACGAGCGCGACACGGCTAGTAAACTTGGGGTCCTGGTAACGTGAAACGACACGTGGGCGGAGGACTAGCCCTGGTCAACCTTTGGGAGTCCATGTACGGGCCTCATTATCCCGGACGCCGGGTAGCCTATGGGTAGGATACCGGACCTCCTCCGCGCGCGCGCGTCGTTTGGGCTTATCCACCCCCTTTCCATTTTAGAGGGCCATCAGCTAATGGGGGTTTGAGTGAGTCTCCTTTTTGCGTTTTCATAGTTGGATGTTATAGTCCGTGGCGGCGGTCAAAGTCAAACCCCTTGATGTTCGACCGCCACGACAGCTTGAAGCTATCTACTCAACCCCTTTGCACAGGGTGCAGAAGAGGGTGTGGTCTCCAACCACGCACGGCGGTTGTCCAGCGTCGAGAGATTAACCCTCAAGGCGTGTGTCAGCCGACACTTGAGTGTCGAATGCGACCCTCGAAATTAACGAGGGCCGCACGATTATGGACGCGACATAGTACGCCATCATTGCGACTGCTTGCGTACGTTTGCATTGCGAGTCGATATGAGTTAGCCCTGCGTCCGCGCGGTTTTATACTAAGTCTCGCACGTGATGACCATCCGATTTCCGCATTGGAAAGTTATGGGTTGGCTACCGAGGGACTAGGAGCGTTGTTGCGTTGTTTGTGTTGTGTCGTTTGTGCAATGTGTGCGTGCGCGTATGTTTTGTTTTTGTGTTCGTAGAGTGGTGTGCGCATGGTGTGTGGGATGCGTCCTAGTCGACCGACGTCGAGCCTCGCTTGGGACTTCAGCCCCCCAAGATGTCGGCCCGCGTGCGGGTCCGATAGGGGTATTACCGCCCGTACCCCCTATGCTACAGTGAACGAGAAACGCCCTCGGCTTGTCCACCTCTGCGATTGCAACCGAGTGACTTTCGTACTGTGGACTGGTAGCTCGGCGGGGATACGCCCACCGAAGGGAGGTGACAACTCCCGTAAGGTGGAGGTAAGTTGTGCCTCGCGTAGGCCCTATCCTGTCGTAGGGGCTTTCGAGAGGTATGGCTGGCGCACTCGGCCGGAGCGGCCTAAGGAAGCTCCATTTGTGTGTTCGCGACGAGGTTGGTCCAAATCCTGCGTGACGCGGCCGAGAGGGTCCCGCGC